AATACAATTATCTATGGCTCCTTCCCTGAGTTGTCATTAGTTAAACTCCTCTCTCAAGAGGTAAGACTGAAGTATGTTTTAAAATTACTTTTATTATTATATATGTGCATGTTAATATGTTTATAAACATATATATAATTATATACTTAAATTATATTTACATAATTTATCACTCTTTCCTCTAATTCCTGTCCTGTATTACCCAAGTTCCTCTCAAATTCATGGTCTCTTTTTCTTTAACTGCATATAATATATGTATATGCATAATTAATTATGTATACATACCAATAAAATGTAAATACAGTCTGCTGAGTCTTAGAGTTCTTCCATACACACCTTTACATATGCATCATTTTCACACAAACACTTTCTGCTATTTTGATCCTGTTTACTCTAGTCTTCCAAAGAGAATTATTTACTACTCTTTGTTCTGTGGGCATGATAGACTGTGTCCTTCAAAGTGTCTCTGAGACCATTGATACTCCTATACATCATTTACCATTGTCCCCCTAACTGTCTTCATTCTGCCTTCTCCCTCCCCCATAGAAAGGGGAGAGGCGATTCTGCATCACGTTGCTCTTGCACAACTTTACTCTCTGAATACTTTTGTGCACATGACTAATTAGTACGTTTCTCCTGTTAAACAGACCAGCAGTTTATTCTTGGGCATGCTCAGAAACACAGACAAGCCTCTTATCATGTGCTCTCACTTGGACAGTAGACTTTCACACTTGTTTAGAATGTAGGTGTCAGTTCATGGCACTCCTCAGTCAGTGCTCAAAGAGAAATGAACTTTAATTCCAAAAGTATTGATCCTAGGAGGGTCCATATGACATAATCACATTGATGACTGGGTTTGGATTTTTATTCAAAAGACAAACTTACTTTTGATTTGTGAAATGCATGATTTCCACTTAATTATCAGTTGAAAAAAAGGGGGTGAGGGTAGTGAGTGTATAGGCAGTATACTCCTAATGAGCCTTCATTATTTTCTGATTACATTTTAACATGAGGATTTATTGTTCCCTGAAATTATATTTTCCAGTTGACAGAGGCTGTGACAGTATGGTGACAAATTTGAGACCAAGGAAGCTTCTCATCAGAGAAGTGCAGTCAGGATTTGGATAAGTCTGGTCTAATCTGTTTAACTTCCAGAAAGAACATCCTTATTCCAGGTTTTAATTAGCATCATACCCCGTGAACATCACTAAGATACCCACCAGTAAGATGGGTGAGAGAGAGGCACAGAGAGGCACATCTTTTCCAGGAACAGAATTCTCAGTCTATCAGTCTGGAGAGTTTTGTAACAAATTGCAAAGTTTTGAACCATAAACCATTTAGCTTCCCTATTTCAATGGAGACACAAAAGTTTATCTGATAATTCCTGTTTATTCTTTTTCCCAAAATGGTGCAAGGAAATCAGTCACAAAGTTTCTCTTCTGGAGGTCACTGTTAAGGCAGCACATTCTGCAATACTCAAAGTTGTGTTAGAAAGTCAGTGTTCTGTGTTATGAGGAAATAAAGATGATATAGATTTTATTTAATTTTCTTGATGAGCATTTACTGTAACACTTTGTTCCGGCAACAAGTTGGTATAGTTCTAGAAGCTTCTGCCCTTTGTGCCATTTCTTTTACTATAAGGAATGGTATTACAGATAATTAATTCTAAGCTGGGCATGGTGGCACACTTCTGCAATCCCAGCATTTGGGAGGTGGAGGTAGGGTGGTCAGAATTTCAAGATCATTGTGGTGATTTGAATGAGAATAGACCCCATTGGTTCATATCTTTGAACTCTGGGTTCCTAGTTGATGGATTGTTTAGGAATGATTAGAAAGTTTGGCTTTCTTCTTAGAAAGGAGTGTTACTGAGAGTAACTTTGAGGCTTAAAAAACTCACCCCAGGCCCAGTCTCTGTCTCTGCCTCTAACTTGTAGATATGATATAAGCCTCAGCTACTTCTCCAGCACCATGGCTGCCTGTCTACCTGCTACTGTGTTCCCCACTGTAATGGTCAAGAACTCACCTTCTGAAACTGTAAATGAACCTCCAATTAAATGCTTTCTTTTATAAGGTCATGGTGTTTCTTCACAGCAATAGAACTGTAACTGAGACAGTCATGCCCATGTACATAATTTAACCCTTTTATAGTCAGCCATGGCTACGTGGGACTTTTTGTTTAAAATCAAAAAGGAAATCTGGGCTTGGTGATGGTATATTCTTTTATTCCCAGCACTTGAGATGCTGTCACAGGAGGATCTCTGTGTCTATATAGGGAATTACAGGACAGCCAGGATTACTTAGAGAGACGACAAAAATATGATTAGTTCTGTTTTTAAACTGAAATCCTCACACAAGAAACAATAAAGAAAATCTAAGCAAATGTAGCTGGATTGAAGAAGATATGATTTTATTTAATGACTCAAATCTAAGTAGAAAGCACTACTCACCCATGATGAGCCAATGGGTGAGTAAACACATTGTTGGATGAATTCCTCCTTTAACCTATATATTCTTTCTTTTCAACAAATACTTTGTTGGGAACCTAGTAACTTGTTCTTATGAATATTATTGAGTACCATCCTCCATAGCCTAGATTATAGCCTGCACAAAGTAAAACAAAGAGTTGTTAAATGAATGAATTGTATGATATGTTTTTCCCTTAAGAAACAAAATAGTTATTCTATCATCAGTAACACGAATTAATAAATGACCAAGAGACTGATACTGGGGTTAAAACTTCAAGCTGAATATCAGAAAAGCAAAGCAGTGAGCCATTAGCTTCTTACTTCTATCTCAGACTGAAAGAGCTGGTCCTGTCTCCATGAGCTCTCACCAAGCCTCAGACTATAACCTCTCCTCAGTGTGGCTGGAGAGTGAATGCCTCCCTGAGACCTTGCTTCTGTCTTATATACTTCCCTAATGTTGGGATTAAAGGTGTGAGCTACAATTCTCTTTTAGACTGATTCACTCTTGTGTAGATCTAGGTGGCCTTGAACTCACAGAAATCTGAGTATCTCTCAATCCTGAGTCCTAGGATTACAAATGTGTACTACCACCTCCTAGCTTCTGGTTGCTGGTATTAAAGGTGTGTGCCTGACTTCTATGTCTTGTGATTGACTTTGCTTTCTGAATCCTCAGGCAAGCTTTAATAAATCATAAATAATATATCGCTGCACTCATGACATTTGGATTTTTATTTTGCTGGGTTAGGCAACATCTTCCTGTCAACAATATGTATTCTGATTCCTACTACCGCAAATTAATCATTTTTGTGCTCATGAATTGTCAGAACCTGATCCAACAAGTCAGCTAGGTTACCTGGTAGGGGCATGAGGATTGAGAAATGGCAGATCAAAGAAACAGAGACAGAAACTCAGGATAAATTGGACAAGACTGTCCAGTCCATGGCCTTCAGCACATAGGACATTCCTGAGTTTAATTTAGAACTTGCTTATATATAGACTAGAGGCAAAGCCGAACAAAGAACAGAATAATCATTTAACCAGCTCCCTGCACCATCCTTGAATCGAGGAGCAGCCAGGCTCACTATCTATCACGAGTCACGCTAGCAGCAAGCAGCCTCATTCCCCTATCTCTGTGTACCTTTCAGATGGCATCAGAAGCTTGTTAGTTAGGTGATGTGTTCTTTCCCATGGGTCTAATCAGAACTTTCTCACAACTCTCAAGGAGACTGAAATAAGAAAGCTTGAACTCTAGTATCTTAGAAGTCAGAATAGACTCCAGATAGAAACTGAGTTTCTTGTGGGGCTCCCACAATGAATATTAAATAAAATGCTTTCAGAGCTGATCCTGAAGACAAATCAAAACTTAAAATGTATTGACTATATTATTATTCAACTTTTAGATTTCCTTTTAAGATTTCCAATGGGGGCATGATCAAGGGAATTATAATATTCATAAATTTTTAGAAAAGTGAGACTAAGGCATATAAATACAGATGAAGTCCATCTTTGCTGCATATTGGACCAATGAGAGCTAGAGGACTCCATAGACTGTATGGTACTTTATATACACATGTTTTGTTATTGGTTTTTACTTAAAATGTGATCAAGGATGCAGGAGGGAGACAAAAGGGTTCTGTGGGTGTGGTTAAGAGAGGGCAATGGAGGGATGATCAGAATACATTGTTTACATGTATTGAACTGCCAAATAATAAAAATATTTTCAAAATAGTAACACATATTTCTATAGCTATTTCCTGGCAGAAAACCTTTGGATTGTGTGCAGGATTAAGAATCTGCAGTTATTTATGGAGAACCAATAATCCCGACACAATAGGTAACACTTTGGGCTCCAGTATAGACTAATATTCACAATTTTAGTTTCTCTTCTTGGTTCTTTTATTTTTCTCCCTTTGCCTTTCAAGGACCATAGGGAAGATCACATGGTAAGAATTTTTTGTTTGTCGTTTTGTTTGAAGACAAGGTTTCCCTGTATAACAGCCTTGGATATCTTGGAACTCCCTCTGTAAACCAGCATCAAGATCAAAGGTGTAAGCCATCATGCCCAGCCAAGATTCCATGCTTAGAGTAGCAATTTTACAGTTTGCCAGAATCCTACTCTGGTGTAATGAATTATAGATAAGAATTTTATGATAAAATAAATTAAATGGGAAGAGACTGTGTAGAAGTTTCCGTCTTTATAGTTATAATGCCAAGAAGATTTAAAAACATCTGCATTAAAATGATATTTTAATTGAGCCCCCCATTCCCCAAAATGGCTATATAGACCAGGGGGGTTTGGAACTCATGGAGATCCACCTGCCTCTGCCTCCCAAGTATTGGGATTAAAGGTGTGAGCCACTATGCCTAGACCAACCAAGTCTCTCTTAAACCCATTTTTCTTTAGCTTAGTTATAGCTTTAACAAAACTTTACAGTATCTCTTAAGTCATAGCACCATCTTGTATTCCACAAAGAAAGGCATGTACTGACAATTTCACCTTAAGACCAAGATTCATGAATCTCTTTAGAAACAAAATTAAGCTTTTTGAGACACATTTTGCCCATTTTATTCTGTGGTTTCAGACCTTTGTAATGGATGCCTTCACAAGGTTTTGGAACACTGAAGGGCAGCCTTTGCTTTCTCACATTTACATGGTAAATGGTGCAGGACCCACCCACCTCCTCCATCACCAACAACTGTCTTAGCATGGTTGTTCATGCTAAGTTCCTGCAGTCTGTGGCTCTTCAAGTGTGGCTTCAGCTTTTGCATTAAGATAGGGCACATCACAGAAGGCCCTGTGACTGCCAGTAACAGTTGCTGCTCCATGACCCTGTGATTAGCTTCATATCGGCTAATCCTTTAATCTTCCGTTTCTATTTTTTCCTATCCTGTACTTTATGTAAGAGGAGGGTCAGTATAGAATATTGTTCTCAATGCAGTGGCCATGTGAGAAAAAAATCTTTTTATTTCCAAAATCTTCATTTATTACCCCCACCATCCCTTCAAATTCCTATTTGCAAAGACTTTTGCTTGTTGCCAAGCATTCTGATTTACACTTGTTATTACAAATTCAAGGCCAACCTGGGCAGCTAAAAACGCTAAGAAGATTTGTATTTGTCAAAATGAATAATAGGATTGTACCTGGAAGTGTAATAATAAAATTGGGAAGGCCACACTAATGCCATAAAATAAATCACTTCAATAATTAATATGCATAAATAGTTCATGGTAGAAACAATAAAGTAAAATCAGCTCTGTACAATAACAAATTTACAAAATTTTAAAAATATATTCGTTTTACATTCAAATTATGGTGAAAAATTGATGACTGTAATTCTTTTTTCTGAATGACTTTCCCTTTACATTTTATGAACATACATGATAGATAATACAGTCAACATGATGTTACAGTCATTTATGACATTACAGTGCTTAGTAACTTTAAAGAACTGAGATAAAAATTCTTACTTAGAAACCAAAAATAAAATAATTAAAATCATTTGCATAACTTTTTTGAAAAATAAATTAGGCACTTTCTACTGAAATTATTGTTCTATTAACGTGTTCGTTCCTGGCAAAGCTCAGACACTATCTTCTCTTCCTTTAAACACGATAAGGTGAGTTGCAAGCTATCCACCTTCGAGAAGCAGCTTTTTCTTTTCAAGGAAGAGGCAAAGACTACACAAAGTAGAATTAGTTTAAAAGCCCAAGTTGCATATGTTACCAACAAAAAAAAAATACTGATTTTAGGCTTTTGAGGTAATGCAGTCTTTGACTCTATCAATAATCATCTTTAATCATGTTACCTGATAATTTCCATCAGGTTAGTGCTCCTGTCCACTACAGGTCACAACCCCTGTCACAATTCAAAGCATTCTGTTTTGTCAACTGACTAATCACTCACAGGCTAGAGAGGAATAAACTACATTTTCCTCTCTCTGCGTCCTGCAGGAGCATCGCCTTTGGCACTCAGGAGGGTGGTTTTGTCCACGTGGCAGCCAGATGGCAGAGAGAAAAGTGAAAATAAGCCCGAGGCGGCTGGCGGTGGCATTTCTGAGGCAAATTCTCCGAAATACCTAGAAAACAGGCGATTTAAGCTTAACCAAGTCAGAAAGTCTTGCATTTAGCCAGCGGTAACACTTGGTGGCATTTTGTTGAAGAGTGCACTGTCAGCTGTTTTCTCGTCCTAGTTTTACTTTTCTTTTGCTTTTTCTCAGCCTTGGTTTTGTTCGTCTTCTTTTTCTTGTTTTCCTCTTTGAACCACGGGCCCCAGACTCCTCCGTTGAGGCGAGGGTTGCTTCGGGGATCCTTCGGTGGGTACCTGACAGGCACTGCGGTCTTGTTGAACTGTGACAGTCTCCTCAGCAGTTTCTTCACGATGCCGGGATACCGGGCCGATAGGTCCACCCTCTCGTAGGGATCAGCTGTGATATTGAAAAGCCAGATACTTTTGCCAGTTGACAAGGTAATCCTCTCATTGTGCCATCGGTTTGGGCCCAGATTGCTGAAGGACTGAGGGGGGACCCAGTCACTGTAGCCAGGGTTTCCCGTGAGGAGCTTCCAGTGCTGCACGCGGATGGCTGACTGGATTGCAGTGTTCCAGATCCCGTAGCCTGCTGCCCAGGAGCCATTTTTCGCCTTGGTGTAAATGGGGTCAATGTTGTGCAGAATATCCACTCGGGGTGAACGAAGACCTTCACTTATGGTCTCCCAGATGTCGTATCCATCTAGCTGAATGTCTTCATCAATCTGCCCTTCGGCCAGTGAAATCAGGGTGGGGTACCAATCTGTGATGTGCACAAGCTCCTTGCACACTGTTCCCTTGTTTTTCAGAAGTGGACTGTGCACAAAGCCAACTGCCCGGATGCCCCCTTCCCAATATGTTCCTTTACTACCTCTGAGAGGCCAGTTACTTCCTCCTGCTGTGGGCTGTCCACCATTATCTGAAGAGTATATGATAATACTATTGTTATAGAAACCGTACCTCTTTAGAGCCAGGGTCACATTCTGGATTGCTTCATCCAAGCAGGAGAGCATGGCTGCATACCTCCTCCTGTTTATGTTGATAATGGATCGGTAGTGCTCAAAATACCTGCCAGGGGCTTGCAGTGGTGAGTGGACAGCTTGGTAAGCAACATATAAAAATATAGGTTTCCTGGGGTCATGAGAAGCTAAGATTTGCTGCACTCTCTGAGTATACATCTGTGTTGAATATATGCCATTGTCATAGTCCCAAGCAGCATTGTCATTTTCATATAAGTCATAGCCACACATCCCGGGACTGTCACATTTGTAGTGTGTATAATAATCTCCACTTCCCAAAAGGGAGCCAAAGAAAGTATCGAATCCTCTTCTGGTGGGCATGCATTCTTTCCTGTAAAACCCCAAGTGCCATTTCCCAACCATATGGGTTGAATAGCCGACCTCCTTGAGCTTCTGAGGTAGGGTTGCATTGTCTAGAGGTAGACAGTTGGGTTGGGTAGGTCTGATGATGGAATGCTGGAGTCCTGTGTGTATCTGGTACCTTGGAGGAAAGAGGAAACATTTTGTCAAGCCAGGATAAAAGGGATATTCTCCATACAAACTATTCTACAGCTAAAAGTTTTCATGAAGATCAGCTCCACCTCAATACAGATAGGATAACTGAGCAGCTCTACTCTTATTCCAAAGGGTTAATGTGGCTTCACATTTAACAGTCGAAGTGTATTTTCAGTACTTTGGAAGCTAAGATTTTTTATGCCTTATCTCAAATTGTTTTTAAAATTCTTACAACAGAATCAATGACAACAAAATTTAGTCTTTTAATTACACGACAGAGTGCTAGCAAGACAGGGGAGGATACACAGAATTAGAATATTATATCTCACAGTAGCTTCTGAGAGCACATGTTTCTAACACTTATGTTCTAAAACATAGGCAGAATTATGGAAAAGTTTCTGGTAGTGTGTCAAACAGTATTTCACACTTCACCCAGGCCTATTGGATCTCTGACTAAGGAAGTGGCTTTGGCCTCAGAAACAAACCTCAGTGTTTGAAGCTAGAGTTGGAGACAGTTCTCCCAGTTCCAGGGGAAGCAATTCTGTTTGCCAGGGTCTTGCCTCCCCTATCCCCGTCAATTGCTAAGAATGAAATCCCTAATAAATTGCTTAGAGTGAAATCTAACAGAGAAGGTAACTTTTCTATACTCTATTAAAATGACAAGGAAGCTAGTTTCCAGGATTTTTCCCTACACATTTTCCAAAGGATTTCCCCTGAGAATCAGTTACTAACATATTAAACATGCAAGGCTCATGTGTATCCACTTATACCTGTTAATTCATAATACTTTAAGAAGGATTTGACTGAAGTTACTTCATATGCTCAAAATAACTTACAGTAAATGTGAAGGTACTCTTGGAACCAAATAAATTGCAAAGAGGAAAATTAAGATAGAAAACCCAAACTTGGGCTGCGGAGAGGACTCAGTAGGTAAAATGAAGACCTGAGTTTAGAGCGTCAGACACCACATAGGAAAAGCTTAGCATGGCTGCTTGTGTTTGTAACTTCAGCACTGGTGGGTTCAGGCAGATCACTGGAGCTAGCTAACCAAAAGTCTAGCTGAATCACTGAGCTCTATAAATTTGTACACACATAGACCTCACAGAAAACATGTACACACACACACACACACACACACACACACACACACACACAAATCAAAATGCCTCCCAAACTGAAAAGTTTTGTCTATAGTGATGTATTCTGCAAGGACAACATGCCATATGTATTTTGGGGGAATAGTCCAATTTGTGTTTAAATGCTTAGCTGGGAATATGATGCAAGCATGAATTCCTGAGTGCTAATTGCACATGCATGCTGAGGAGTTAGTAAGAACTGTGGTGACCACTTCTCACTCTTCCGCAAAGCTGCATTTGTGTCTGCCCTTTATGCCATTCATCATTAGCAGATAGCATCTCACAGCAATCACAGTTATAGGAACTTAAAATAGATAAATACTGGTAAATACATTTCACAAGTATTGCTAAACACCCAATTCAGAAGGTGTCATTCTTGATGATTTTGGTCTAGTATAGGATCCAAAACAATAACTTATCAAATTAAGTTTGTACATGAACAATTGAGAAGGGACTACCTACATAAACTTGGAAAAAATGAAGGGGTAAAGTCTGTATTTGTGAAAATTTTAGCAATCATTCACAGGGATACATTATTAATTATATAATTACCATGCATAGACCTTTTCCTTGACCTGAATGCCTATTTAATTCCTTCAAAAGCTAAAAATTTAAGCCTTTGTAATTGAATTGGTTGTTTCTCACCTAATGATAGAGGCAATGGAAATGACACTTAGGAAATATAAGAAGTGTTTCGGGTTGGGGGAGGAGAGGGAAGGGACGGGAAAAGAGAGGAGGGGAGAAGAGACAAAATTGCTTTCAGAAGACTGTGTAGAGCTGGTAGATAAACGAGAGTCCAGGATCAGTAGTGAATGAAGAGATTTCTGCTTCTGCTTCTTTGGAAAGTAGAGTGGTTTCCATGTTGGGGACTTTAGAGCTAAGAACATAAAGACTTGCCAACAGCTCATAACAAAAGAGAAAAATTTCAGGTCAGTTTCTCCATTGGTAGTTTCAAGCCTCAAACTTCTGCAAAGAGTTTGAAACAGAGTGTGGGACACTGACTAAGTTACAGGTGTTGAAATCTGACATACCTGAGTTTGGATTTCCAGTTACCTGTGAGATTCAGGGCAGACTTTAAACCTCTGACCTTCAGTGTCAGAGGAGACTGGGTGATAATATATGTTAGGATGTTGTGGGCCCTATGAGGAGCACATAATCTAGGGTGGGGAGAACAGTTAGTAAATGGTATCTGTCACTGGGATTACCCAAAAGTGTAGAGAAGTATGTGATGACATATTTGTAGAAAGTTTTATAGTTCATAGATTTTCTTTCCTATGTACAACTGAACTTAATATTCAGTACTGCAGTGACAACAAGTCACACTCTGTCTTCATTTCATGACTGGGAAAGAAGATAGGAAGAGAGCTGTGGCATGTTTTAAAGTTTAATTAACATTTTTCATTTATTTTACAAACTGACCACAGTTTTCCCTCCCTCCTTCCGCCCCATTATCCACCCCCTCCTCATTTGCCCTTCCTCTGTCTCCATTCAGAGTTGTGGTATTTTCAAGAACTGTCTTAACTGACTACCAACTGAGATACTGATTTCAGAGTAGCATGAGTAACTGTGTTACTCACTCAGTTTTTAAACTATTAGTTACTATGAGTGCTTTGTAAGAACATTCAGGGGAAGTCAAAAGTGAAAGATTTGCAAACCAGATAGGGAGGATTATCTTTATCATAGAAATACTTGAGAATTTTGTATTTAAATTAGAAAAAAAGCTTGCTTCACATGTCAATCCCAATTCCCTCTCCCTCCCCTCCTCTCCTGCCCCCCCAAAATCCCCCAACCCTCCACCCAGTCCCTACTCCTCTCCCTAGGGAGGGTGAGGCCCTCCATAGGGCATCTCCAAAGCCTGTCATATCATCCCAGGCAGGGCCTCGGCCCTCCCTCGTTTGTCCAGCCTGAGAGAGCATCCCTCCACGTAGAATGGGCTCCCAAAGTCCATTCGTATGCCAGGGATAAATACTGATCTATTGAAATATTTGAGAATTTTTAAAAATTGGGATGACGTTGAACTGGAGGAAGCTCTGGGAAGAATAACAGCATAGTCTCTAAGTCACTCCAACTAAAGATATGGGACATGAACTTAATACGGGATCACATAGTTCAAAGAAGGGTCTCAAAGGAGTGCTTCCAGTTGAAAGGAATTAAGGGGAGACGATGATCAGATGAAATCTGTGATCCTGAAATACAGTGGGCACAGCTGGGGAGCTGACAGAGCTAAAGAGTGTCTCAGGAGTACTTGAGAAGAACTATGTTGACTTCTGAATTTGACATATGTTTGTGTCTAGAAACAAAGGAAAAATCCTCATTTCTAGGAAAGACCAGTGTTATAAGTGAGATGGTGCATTGTAGGAAATAGGTAGTAAAGTAGGAGGGATGGTGAATCCCCATGCTGGCAAATAACTTTTAAAATGGTTCAAGAAAAAATTTTTCTGTCTATCCCTGCAATTTTTTCTGTGCTTATGAGGTAGGTTCAAGTACAGTAAAAATGTAGAAAAAGTAATTAGGATAAATGAAAAATATTTCTGTTAAAATTTCAGTTAGTGTAATGACTATAAATGAATCCAAGGAACTAGATCCTATTAACTATGCATTCAATAAAAAGAGAAAATGTAATAATGAAGAAGAAAATAAGATCTAAAATGCTAACAAGAAAATACATTACCTTAAAGTAGTATGTAATCTGAGAAATAATAATTCCATTCTGTGGAATTTATGTTAATCAGAACATAAAGAAAAAAAGCTGTTCATTATTGAAGCATGTGCCTCAATATATATATATGTATATATATATGCACATTCCCATGCTATTATAAGCAAAAGTAAAACTGAGAAATTGAAGGAGATACCATAAGATGGAATGATCTCATGAATCAATAGGATTAATATTGTGAAATGGCTCTAGTATCAAAAGTAACCTACAGATTCAATGAAATGTCCATCAAAATTCAAACACATTTCTTCACAGAAATTGAAAAATATGTCAATTTCATATGAAAACACAAAAACCCAGGATAGCTAAAACATCCTGAGTAATAAAATAATGCTGGATGTCTCACCATCTCAGATTTCAACGTGTATTGTAGAGTTATGTTAAATAAAAACAATGCTGTATTGTCATAAAAACAGACACATTGATCAATGGAACCAAACTGAAGTCCCAGACATATATCTATACACTTACGAACACCTGATTTTTCAAATAAAAAGCCAGAAATACATAGAGGAAAAAGCATCTTCAACAAATGGTGCTGTCAAACTGGATGAGTATAGGATTGTATTCCTATATGCAAGAATATAGGAGAATCCAAGTAGATCTATATTTATCACCCTGTTCAAAACTTAACTCCAAGTGGATCAAAAACCTCAATGTAAGACCTTATAGAAAAGAAAGTTGGGAATAGCTTATTGGCTCAGAAAAAGACTTTCTTAACAGACCATCATTAGCACAAGCACTAAGAACAACAATTAACACACGATGCTATATGTTTAGTCTCATAAGCAGGTGTTAGCTTTTAAGTCTTGGATATGTGTGTTGCAACCTGAATAACCACATAAGTTAGGTTCTAAGGGGAAAAGAGGATCTCCCAAGGAAGGGGAAGAAGAGTTTAGTGTTATAGAAAGACAAAGTAGAAACTGTAACAGGAGGATTAAATGAGGAAAGTTAAGGAAGAGTAGTGTAAAGGAGCAAAAGTGGGGAGGGAGAACTAATACTAAAAGCCTTTTGAAAAGCTATATGGAAACCTACTATGGTAGATGTGTCCTAATTTGTACACATATATGAAAGTAATCTAAATGGAGTCGCCATATAATGAGGGAGACAATGCCCCCAACTAGGCATCTT